TTAAATGGGGTTGAAAGAAATCTTGGGGTGGAGTTTTTTAATATTACAGTGTAGAACTGTAAAAATGGATATAGGAAGCTTTATTCTATCTTTTCTAATACTGAGAAAAGTATTGTTTTTCTAGTAAAAAGGCACTTCTCAGAAAGGATGTATTTAAAAAACACATTAAACAAAAAAAGTACACAAACAAAAAACAAAAAAAAAAATCATATCTTAAAAAAATACATTATTTGTGATATTTTAAAATAATTTATCTCGGAGGGCTAACTAAAAAAGCTACAACACAAAATAGTTATATATTAATAAAAATGTAATCTATTGGTAGTTAAAAAATATACTTATTTTTAGTTTACGTAATAAAAAAGAATGTCCTCAGTCTTAATGGTCTAACAAAAGCTACAATACAGTATTTAAAATGATTTACAAAGCAGTTATATACATGATCTTTTAAAATTACTGGAGTTTTCTATGTTGTGCATAACATCTCATCATGTCAGTGAAAAACCTCAAGAGATATTTCAACATCGACACTATGTTTTGTATAGAAAAATTGAGGTTAATTTTGTAGGGCTTTCTCAAACAAGCTCGAGAGGTTCTAACCCCCCCCCCCCCCCCCCTGACATTCTCCTGGTTACGAGCCTGTCTCCAATACACAAAATGCATGCTCGTTTAAAACCACTTTAATCTACCTATCCCGAATGAAATGAAACAAAATTCATCCAGCACTCCTATAATATTCAAAGCGAAATACGTAATTTATGTCGTGTGAAGAGGGATTATTTCTATAGCAACCGAAGTTTTAAACTGGAGCATATATATGAGGATTACACATTTTTAATCTGAAGTTATTAGCATGGCTAATTCATGACTAGAGTCCAGCTGAAATGTGACGCGGAACATAGGCGTACGTATTATTATAATGTAATACATATAATAAAGTCACTAATATTAGATATGGTAACAAAAACAACACATTCACACTTTATAACTATATATGTATGTAAGTAAAACTTACGGTTTTAATTAGCTTGACGACGTAACTTCGTTAGCAGTACTATCACGAATTGGAGAAGGTTAGTAAAAACTGTAACATCGGATAAGTTTTTATAGTTGTTGCCAAGAAAGAAAAGTTGTTCACTGGGGTGAAAATATATGCTTATATTTTAAGAACGATCGTTCGATGTCTACTGATGTAATACAGGCATAATTAAAATATTCGTTGCACTCACTTAATGGATCTGTAGATGCACAATCACTCATCATTTTGTTCATTCATTCAATCAATTTGTCTTAATTGGTAAAACCGGTGTAATACACTTTCTTCAACACATTTTCGAACGTATTCTTCTCTGGCTCATTTATTGCGTCACTTATAGCTTGTAGCAGCGAATTTACTTCGCCCACTATTTGTAGTGACTCCGCTAACCATAGCGCACTGTTCTGTAATTTTTGTATGGCTTCATACAAACCTTTAAAATTTCCATGAATAGCTTTTAAAGTTGTTTCAACGGACACATCTTGAAATTTGGTCTGGCTCTCCTTAATAGCTGCAGCTTCGGCGGGATTGAATTGTAAAGTAACAGCTTTTATTTGCTGGAAGTGTCTCGTCGACAAACAACCACAGCAGTGTTTTTTTAATGCACTTTAAATCCACTGTAATAAGTCCACAACTGCGTACAGTTGTAGTGCGTAATGTTGTTCGACTTGGTCATGGCATCGCTGGAACGTATTTGTTCCAGAACTCACGAAATGTTTATTTATCGAGTACATTCAGTGGTTCACCTCAAGCATTTAACATTAAAAGTAAGTCAAACATAAATTGAGTCCTCAAGGGCATACCTTCATTTCTCTTTTTGACATTTGCATGTGACATTTTATTATTAATGTATATAATGCCGACGACGTAAACACCTCGAACACATTAATAATAATGGACGTTCGGGCGAAACGACTGAAGTCAATGACCCGCCCGCCGTACGCCGCTGAATTGCGGCACGATCGGCCAACTCTATTCATAAGTGAACCGAAATAATCCAGAACGAAGGGGATCAAATGCCGGCTTACACTTTTTTGTGAAATCGGCGAGCAGAAAACATTTTCCACAAATATTCAACAACCTCGCTATTGGAGGTACAATTAGTATTTTATTACACGCCCATATACTGGAGCTGAACTAAAAAACTTCCTAGTGAACAACATAATTGAGTAATTTTAATTGCCTCATTGGAGGCAAAGGGCTACGAAACGTCGAAATTTTTAACGGAAACAAATTTTCCATCCGTTTGGCTATCTATCCCACTTTTGTTTTACAGTATTTTACAAAAGTGAAATAATTGCCTTCTATCGTAAAAAATAGCATATTGTCCATTGCGATCGAAAACTTTAGATTCACTTTTAAATTACTTTATTTGCCTAAACCAGTGATTCTCAAACTTTTTTTCGGCGTCCTCATTGAACTCAAATTTTCCCAAGGCTTCCTATCAAAAGTACGGGAACACTTTACAAAATAGGTCATATTTTTTAAACAAAGTCGAGTTATTTCGAGTTATTTGAAAAATCCATCACAGAAATCATTTCAATCAGAAGTAAGGACATTCATTTTCAATAAAAATAATCAAAGGTGAAGATATTCTTCAAATAACTCGTGAACGGTGGCTCGTTGCCGACCATTGCGCCGGGCTCTAGTCATAGCCATACAACTTTTATTTAAAACTTTTTTTTCTATAGTCAATAATAACGTTAATAAGGGATGGGTAATTTATAATGAATAACCGGAATGGCGCAAAAGAAAATGGTGGATATTGAGTATTAATCGAAACAGAACAAGGTGAATTTAAAAAATACATGATATACAAATCTATAAACTTCAAAACTTCATCACTACTCCATACCGCCATGGTAGCTCGTAAATACAATAATTATTATACACCGCAACACTAGCGTTTCTGATTTAACGGCAAGCACGAACTGAAGAAGAGGCCAACGTTTGAACGCTTTTGCCGGATTGGGCCAAGATCTTTTGATGTGTGCACGAAAAACCGACAACATTCGGCTGGCCGACCAACGCTGGCCGCCAATGGCCAAGTTACGCCAAGTAGTCTTGTACACGTTGGCCCAACTCATTGGCCCAACTAGTTGGCCAATCGTGTACAGGGGCCTTAAGACGATCTTCAGCATGTATGTTAGTAAAAGACGGAGGCAATTAAAATGTACTCTAAAAAGACATGGAAGTTGACTTTACTTGACTGTGGTGAATGCGGCATCGATAAACAAAAATATTGAAGTTTCTAGTAAATTCTTCAGTCATTCAAGAATATTAACACACAACGTCAATGCTATAAAAGATTGAAATTGGGGAAGACCGACAAATACCTAATTTGTAATATAGTCACTTTGACTTCAACAGTTGTTACTTCAACAAAAGTTACGGTAGTTGGAAATGAAAAAATGTATATGAAAATTAATATAAAATATATTACATTACATAATATATACATCAACTTTTCGCACAATTTTATGACAAATCTTCTGATTAACTGGATACGTAAAAACGGAAAAAACCATGGATACGTAAAAAACTTAATCTGATTTTTTTGCTTAGCAACGTACTTTTTTTTGCTATGTTTTATTTGTGTTCAGTTTTTTCAGATATTTTCGTTTATTGTGAAAAATATATTTTTTATTTTGTAACATTCAATTGTCATTTACTCAAAATAAAAAATAAAAAATATATTTTTTCACAATAAATAAACGAAAATATCTGAAAAAACTGAACACAAATAAAACATAGCAAAAAAGTACGTTGCTAAGCAAAAAAATCAGATTAAGTTTTTTACGTGGCAACATTTTTATACCGTTAAATCGACAATGAAAGGGTCTCTCAAATTAAATTAAAAAAAATGGGGGATTACCATTTGAAAAATAAGTTGATGACGTCATTATTCAAAAACAAATGACATCTGAAAATAGACGTTCCCTCAAAAAGATGTGTTTTTATTAAGCAAAATCGACCTGTTCGAGGATTTTTTCCAAAAAATTTTTTTTTCACATTTACTGAATTTATTCCATACTTTAGGCGCGCATAGTATAGATTTGAATTAAGGTTTTTGATATTATCATCGTCCAATTTTAAATATTCACATTTAAAAAAAGCACTACAATTTTCCTCAAAAGTAGTGCATCTAATGTAGATTCTAAAATAGCAATAAAAGTAATAGCTTTAATTCTTGAAAACATATTGCTATTCAACCACAACGAGTCACCGATTTCGATGTAATTTCCCTATGTGTGAAACTCGATGTAAATCGTTTGATTGTTGTTTTTTTTTATATGACAACTGTGTGCTTTGAATATACTTAAAAGCTTTTAATTCTCCCAACTTTTTACAACAATAGCTGTGGTGGAGCGCGGTATGCAAAAATGTCAGCTAACTGTGCTCGCGAATGTTAGAACAAGATGGAGTTTGAGGGACCATTGGGACCCGATATATATATATTATTTCTTGGTCAGTACATTTCATTACTGCGTTTGTACTGTTTCCATATTCGCGAATTGGTACTTTCGACCTGGCCTTGTTACTCTGGATTATCAATAGCGTAAACAAAATCCAGAACAACAAACGCAGATTGGTGATACAAACATAAGTTCGTTCATGTTAAAAAATAAAGTCTTTAACCATGTCTTTAGAGTCTTTTGTTTTCAAACACGGGCAGTACTGGACAAAACCAGTTAACAGGACGAAACTACATGATATTCTACCACGAAAATAAATGTTACATTATACAGATAAAGCAAAATTCTGTATAAAGCATAATCTCAAACGCAGACTATAATACCATATTTGGCGAATCCCATGGCGGTTACATTAAAAAAACAAAAAACATCACAACACAGAAATTGACATTTTTTCCTCTAGGAATAATTTGTATCAGTCAATCACTTGTATCAGAGGGAGAGTACACATGGACGTATCCACACGACCAGACAATGTGACAGCTCAAATGCCACAGGCAGGATTCGAACCCGCGAGGAAAATAGCTCTCGTTGTAATCGCCACCTCCCAGTTGGCGCTTTACCCACTGAGCTATGCCGCAATCAAGTATTACTCTTATTAAATAATCATTATATCTTACCTGCTTGGACAAAATCAAGTTAACAGTAAACGTTAATAACGTTAACTTGATTTTGTCCAGTACTGTTCCATCTTTATTCTATAATTTAATTTAATTTTATTCCTCAAGCGTATGCAGCCAACATTACTCACACCTGTCATATAATCTCCTTTCTCTCTCTCCAAAAAAAGGCACAGTACAATAGTGTGAAGTGTGATTTTTAACTCTACTCGAAGAAAGACACGCGACTTTTGCTCTCTCTCCTACGTTAACATAACGCAGCAGCTATTTTAGTGCACCTACTTGCATACAGTGCATTAGTGACTACTTGGGTCATCCCAACTGCTGTGCACCTTAGTGACGCCGGCCGGCATAAGTGCATCAGTGGAAGGAAAGCATCCCGCGTGCACCTATAGACCTTGTGAGACCGCAACCTACGGAAGAAAACGTAAGTGCCTTTTCTCATACAGTCCACAAAATCCCTTTCGCACAAGTACTGTATGACGAACAGGGTCCGGAAATTGTCTTACAACGTAGGGTCGGCACTATACAACTCTATGATAATTAAAGAATAAAGCGTCATTTTGTATATTATTATATATACATATAGCGTAGCCAGTGTTCCTTCATCGATTAGTAAGTTAGTTCGACGCGAGACGGACGAATGGTAGAACGCCGAGTTCCGAATTTGATGTGTCGTCAGTGATTAACTAAGAAACGTGTGTATATACGTATTTTGTCCCGTGTACATATGTTTTAGAGTTCGTGTGGTGTATTTACATTATCTGATTTTATCTGGATTTTCGCAATAATGGCACAGTCGTTACCATTTGTGGATAGACTGAAAAAAGATGATTGAAAATTACGAGGATTTTACAATAGACACATATTTTATGTATTCCTTGCAATCGTCGATATACAGGTATGTTCCGTAGATGCCGAGAGTGTGAAACACATTTAGATTCGAATATCCATGAACAAAATATTATTGGTATTGTTAGAAAAGACTAATTTTGTCGACTAAGTTTGATTTTTGTATGTTTTTGAGCATGTAGCCTTTCGTAGAATGTGGTCGCCAATATTCACTTTTTTTGTCAAATATGTATCTTATTTTACATGGCCTAGTAGCCATACATTACGTAAAATATATTTACAGAAGATATATCAACGTGTCATGGGATATATCAAAAAAGATTAATAATAGTATTAATAAATTTCTGTGGCTGACAGTGGACGAAGTAACAGATTTTTACGGTAATAAAGTCGTTAATGTTCTGATACGAATTTTAGGTGTTTCAGATATTTCGCCTCCGATATTGATAGCTAGGAAACAGGTTTTGCAAACAACGGCTAAAAGTATAGAAATAGTAGTAACATGTGCATTGTCCTCTATAGATGTAAAAAATAATAATGTACTGATGTTAGTGGCAGACTCAGCCGCTTATATGGTGAAAGAGGGACAATATTTAAAACACATGTATCCCAATATGATTCACGTTACATGTTTGGCACATGCTTTACACCGTGCGGCGGAAGAAGTTTGCAAACAATAACTATTGGTAGATTCTTTAATCGGAAATACTAAACATATTTATTAAAGCGAGCTCCCGAAATCAAAACTTTAAACGTTAATTTCTTAACATACCATTACAATGAATAACATCGTTCATTACACGTCCGTAAATGCTTTTTCCATGTTTGCATGACTTTACGGGAATTTTCCATGCACGCACGACAACAGCATATTATCTGGATTCCTATTGAAATACACTATTTTTCGACTACCCGGATTTTTTCGCCCACGCATTATTTCCACTCGCATGCGACTCGTGCTCGCTGAAAGGTGAAGTAGGGATCATTACGTTTATATCGATGGCGTATCGGTAAGTAAGACGACACTCGACTAACGAATTCCAAATTGGGCATCCGAGCGAGCCCTTTCGCCGAGACGGCGGCGTGTCGCCCTTACGACCCTTAACAAGGACGTAAGGATATCTCGTCCTCGAGTTCCGCACCCTCAGCACTCGCAGCAACTCACAGCAACTCACATTCTGTGCAAATAAGAGGGAGGCCTTGTAGAAGTGAAAAAGAGAAGACGAAGCGCGTGCCTCGCTCAGATCTGTCTGCCCTTGCGGGAAATTGTCATGAAGAAAATCGAAGCACGTTTCACGCAGAATAAAATATAATAAGTAGGCACAGGAGAGTTTGCCATAACGCATGTTAAACTGCATTTAACTATCATACGCGAGTCCCGGCACGTTGCTGGGCACGGTCAGTGCCGTACGTATACAAGGGCAAGAAATACACGCATATACAATTTACAAGGCGCTTAAAAAATACGGTTTACACTTTAATTATCATGGAGTTTTATAGTGCCGACCGTACGTAATTGCCCACATTTCCGGACCTTAGTAAAAAGTTACACTACACCTGTGGAAAGATAGTGATAGAACGACTCGCAATTTCGCGTGTATTATATGTACTTCGACCTTTTGAATTCGAAAATAAGAATGAACATTTTTTTGGTATCATCCACCGCACTAATATCATCCATTACTCATAGCATAAAGGTGCTTGATTAAAATGCACGTTATTAGATACATATGACATACTAAACAGAATGACGGAGCCAGGAAACAGTTTGTCAAGGTATTACGTACAGATCCCTGGCAGCAATTTCATGTACCTGTGCCATAAGTTTCCAATTCTGTCACATTCGAGGTTAAAATAGGGTATTTTCATCGGCCCCAACAATTTCTAGGAAACAATGAATGGCGTGCAACGAGAGGCCTGGATATGGTTTGAGAGTGTAATTTACAACTTTCTGGAAAACACTTACTAGATATGATCACATAGTTGAGGATGTGCTTCAAATCCGTGCACAGTGAAACAGGTGGTGCGTTCAAAAGTATCTGCCCTTGCATGAAATTATCATGAAAAAAATCTAAGCAAGTTTGACGTAGAATAAAAGGCAATCCTATTTTTATCTCACAAGTTATACTAATCAACATTGAAAACAGTGAAAATATTTTAAGTTTGGTATCACCCACCATTCCTACCAGTGGAGATGCAAATGAACACATTGCGTACACGAAAGTAACTAGGAGTCTGCCACACGTTTGTGTATTTTATTATAAAATTATTTATTCACAAATAATTTCATTCAAAATACGTTGAATAATCACATTATTCAACGTATTGCTTATAGCGGAGGTTGTACAACAGCACCAACTGACACTAAATTTTCTTATTATTATGGTATAGTAACTCTTGACAAAAATAAGTAGTAGTTTTTTTTACCACCCCTCTCACATGCGATAAGTATGTATGTATAGTCAATCCCCTCCCAAGCAAAATATCTGGGCACGCCACTGGCCCAGTTCTTTTATTCCTTTAGAAACTTCTTCATGGCATACACTAAACATTTGTTTGTAAAATTTCATTTTGCATATTTTTTTTTAAGTACCTTTGAAGAACGTCGCTTTTAAAACTTGCTTTTTCCAAATGGTATTTTAGAGCAACTTCCAACTCAGCACTAAAGTTTATTAATCCGAGGAAAACGTGACGTGAAGGACGTGAACTCTTTGTGTCATGTTCTGTAAATGCAAGTTCAAATGCATCACAAAAATGTACATAATATAGATTTATAGGATGTAAAATGAAGCAATTGTGCCCATACTTTCATTGTACAGTTCAACGTCTCTTCGATACGCAGATTCTAGCTGAGATACAGTGTTTACTTTCCAAAAAACGTAATTTACATAACATTTTTTTTGTTCGTTGTGCCACACTACATGCTTTATCATACAGTCACCTAAATGATTTTAATAAGTCAGTTTCATTTTTGTCCATGATTGTTCATCACCAAATAATCAGCAGGGAAACAAAAAAGCACATTTTTTTTATTACAACCTCGAAAGATATTACGCCACAGAAGCCACTATCGAATACGATTATATGTAGCTAATCATATAATTTCGTCTTTGTTTACATGTCTTCTCACTCTATTCTCTATTTTACGAAACTGGCATGATATTTGCAATAAGCTTCCATGGCAGATATATCTACAACATAGTTTTTGTAACATGTTTTTTTTTACACTTTACACTTTCTCAATTTGTAATGAAATCCCGAGAGAAGAACAGTTTTCGGAATATTAAACAGATTGTTTCTAACAATCTATTAATAAATTCATCTAAATTATGTTTTTGGATATCTAAAGATATTTTTACTTCATAAAATAACAAAACACTCTGTCAAGTGTGTAAAATACACATTTTACAAGTACAGATCAACAGACAACTAACGAAATGAATGAACTTCTTTGGTAGTAACAGTGAATGCTCATGAGTTAATGTGACTGTACTGATGTACTAAGTGAAACAGATTCCTACGTTAGCACTCAATATCTCACCTGTTGTGGAACTGCTACTTTATAATATTTTTGCACACCAAACATTTTGAGTTATTCCAGGTGATAAAAGTCTGAAATTCAATATGGCGTCATATTTTACGTAGAATTCTGATGGAAAATGTCCTCTCAATATTTTTCATAAAAATGCGTTCTATCTGAGTAAAAAATTATTTGTCATTCTAACTTCAAAACGAGGTTTTTTTTCCGGTGTTGAGGTTCTCATGATGAAATCATGAGAATTATATATTATGCACTTAGGGATGCTCGGGAGCAAACTACTCGCCGGAAGTACACAACCTACTTGTTTCTCGTGGTGCATATACGATCTTTTCTCACACCCACCAGAAAGTACGTTCTACGTAATATTCTTTGAATAGATATGCGAGGAAGTTCCGGAAAAAAAATTCGTCAATGCGCCCGAATTCAAAATATATATTTTCTATTTACATGCGGAGAAGTTTCGAAAAAAAAAATCTTCAATGCGCCTACATCCCTAAGTGCATAATATATAATTCTCACGATTTCATCATGAGAACCTCAACACCGGAAAAAACCTCGTTTTGAGGTT